GGCGGCACTGGGGCTGCGGCTCCGGGACGATGCGGTCTCCGCCCCGTGGCTCAACTCCGGGAGCTGTGCCACCGGGAGCCACGTTACTGACAGCACCGGGGCAAGCCGGGACTCGGCAGCGTTGTGCGCCCCGCTCCGGTCACCGCTGTGGTCCTCGGGTCGGTGGGTGACAGAGCTCCTCGAGCCTTGCTATCGAAGATGTCCTGGTGCTTCAGTGCAACAAGGGTGGCGGTACCGGCTGTAGCGCACCCGGTTCCGCGAGGTGTGCTGGTTGGAGAACATCATTCCCTAAAATTCTGTGTCTGTTGCCACTTGCATCAGTCCTACGTTTTGGCACGGTAAATTCAACGCAGGCAGCAAGGGGCTGCTTCAGCTTACAACGTGTACTTCATGCTCTTTGCACATATATTGACTATAGTAGGCTTGGCAGGGCACTGTAACTGGGGAGGTTTTTTTGTAAGTGTGATTTGATAGGCATTGGCTGTGACTCTGGGACGTTGTGCTGACTGTAATGAGTTATCCTGTTGTGTGGCTGTGAGCTTGAATTAAAACGTGGTGAAGACTGGGCTGAGTACTACCAAAACTGAATGAAGTAGAGGTCCTCCTCAACTAACTTATTAACTAAGATCCTGAGAACCTGAAGGAGAAGGGTATAAAGTTTCATACATGTATGTTTTTTGATGTGAATGAAGACTGCAACAATGGCTTATGTGTTACAAAAATTGAGTCATCTTCTGCTCTAACCTGCCCTTCCTCACTTTTCATGTTGGCACGAGCTGTTCCTTTCCCATAGCAACTGGATCAGTGTCTTCAGAGCTTTACTGGAGTTTCTGCATGGCCCTTGTTATAATATACTTAAAAGCATTTCCTCTTGCCCTTAATTTCTGGTTACAAACAAATCCTATGTCATTTACATTGTTTTGGTACTTTTTGTTTCTAGGGATTAGCAGATACAGCCAAAAAGAACTTTGGTGGTGGAAACACTGCTTGGGAAGAGAAGACACTGTCAAAGTATGAGTCCAGGTAAGCTGTCTCAGTACTTCTCTGTTGGTTCCTTTGCCTGTCCACTGTGCAGAACTTCACCATCCTGATGTTTGTCTGGAACTTAGTGAGTGTTGCAGCTGAAGTTGCATATGTCCAAACCATAGATTCCTATTGATTAAAATGTAATTTTACATTATGAATATTGTAGTAAAGACTGAAACCCCTTATTAATGCCTTTGTCTTGTTACTGAAAACAGTTAATGTCATCATTATAGCAGCTGGGTTTTTTTTTCCATTTACCTATTAAAGCCCCAAAATAATGATCTTAAATAATGGTCAGTAGTTACTTCATAGTCATAAAGGTATGGAGTATTGCAGTACTTTTTTTTAGAATTAATCCCTCAAGTCATCACTATTGGGGTGCCAAACAGAAAACTAGATGAGGTGCAGATTACTGCACTCTTCTCTATATATGTTTGATTACTGATCAAAGTGGTCTGACAACTTTCTTCTAAATTCACTGTTTAATCTTAGTTGGAGCATTGAGATGGAAGGGTGAGACTTCTGAACCTCAGTTACTGTGAGTTTTGTGGGCTCGTATCAAATATTAACAGTACAAATCAAAAATTAACAGTGAAATTCATTGTTGAACTTAAGAGAAAAATGGTGCACTCAGAATTTGCTAGGAAGCTAAAAAAAATCTATCAAACCTACAATCCTGAGACATAATCAATGCAGGCAAGCTAAAGTGGTTCTCCTGGTCATCCTTCTCATTTTTTTTTAATTGAAGAAATGTTCATTGGTTCTTTATTCTGATACTTGCTTTGTTGTGGAACTCATTTAGAGCACCATAAATTAGTGAAGTATTCTGGAAAGAAGTCTAAGCTTCTCTGTCATGTCTTGAGTGGTGTCAAGTGATGAATTCAAACTTAAGATTTTCCTTCTCTGCTTGTAGTGAAATTCGTCTTGTAGAGATCATAGAGAATCTGTGTGACAGCAGCAACTTTGAGTGTAACAAGATGGTAGAAGAGCATGAAGAACAGATAGAGAAGTGGTGGTTCAAATTGTAAGTATCAAACTTTTTTTTTTTGAGATCTTTGTGTAGATAAGTTGCCTGAGAGGACAAAGTAATAATGTTCCTTCTGTGCCTGAACAATACCAGTATGGGTAATTCTTTGTTATCCTTCCTTCAAGAGTTGCCCTTGGATACAGCTCAGTTTGGGCTGACTTTAATAACATGTGCTCCTGTACCATGTTCTTTTTATTTTCAGTTCCCCAAGTGTGGTACCCAAACACCTGCCTGGCTTCTCTTATATTGTCTACCCAGTTACCAGTGGGATGTTGAGACAAACTCATGTTGGAAAACTTTGTGATTTGTTACCTGGTTTTTGTTTTCCTATTTCATAAAACAGCAAGGGACTCTTCTGGTCTTGTGGGGATTTTTGTGTTGTTTTGTTTTTGTTTTTTTTTTCTTGAAACTTTATTTTGTTCTCCTGGCAATCAAGAAAATAGTTTACACTAATAAATCTAGAAGCTGGATTTCTTGAGGATGGGAGTGTAGCAGCTGACTTTTCTATCTGCCTTCCAAGCTGGCCTGTGATTTCTGTTGTAAATAAGCTTTTCATGTACTCTTATAAACTACAGTTAGTGCAAGGATGGCTTCATAGCATTGAAATCTCTTATAGATTATTTGGAAATTAAAAAATAAATATAATGTTGTGGGTATTTTTCTTTTTAAGTGGGTTTTTTTATTACTTTAGACTGTCAGCACTCCCAATCAACTAGAATTCAGCAGGGTAAACTGCTGTTAGAATGTTTCAGAACTGGATAAAGGTTTTTGATAACCCACTTTGCTCTTACTGACTGCTTTATTGTTTTGTCCTTTTACCTAACTGTGCAGGATTTTGGATGCATTAACATGTCAGTTGAAGGGAATTGCATAGAGTATTTTACATGGAAGAGACCTACAACAAACGTTTAGTCCAACTGCCTGATCACTTCAGGGCTGACCAAAAGTTAAAGTGTGTTGTTAAGGGCATTAGCCAAATGCCTCTTAAACACTGACAGGCTTGGGGCATCAGCCACATCTCTAGAAAGCCTGTTCCAGTGTTTGACCATCCACTCAGTAAAGAAATGCTTCCTAACATCCAGTCTAAAACTCCCTTCACACAACTTTGGGCTATTTCCACAAGTCCTGTCACTGGATGGTGGGGAGCAGAGCTCAGCACCTCCTGCTCCACTTGCCCTCCTCAGGAAGCTGTAGAGAGCAGTGAGGTTGTCCCTCAGCCTCCTTTTCTCCAAACCAGGCAACCTCCAAGTCCTTAGCTGTTCCTCCCAGGACCTGCCTTCCAGAGTGGTGAGCTACACAACCCAGAGCCTTAAACTTCCAGAACTGGAAGGCATGGGTCTTAAACTAGAGACTTTGACAAAGTAGACTTCCTGAAATTAAAACAAAATACATTGTTTTTTAGGAAGTTTATGTATTTGTTAGACCTTTAGAGTGTAATTGATTAACTTTGCCTTCTGTATTTTAACCTGCAATAACCAAATGTCATTCAGCTTCTGTGGTAGTTTTCAAAGACAGTTTCTCTGTCCATGAATACTTTAGGTCTTTTTTACAAGTTGTTACACTACATGTGGTACTCAAACTTTGCTTTTCCAGGCCTGAGACTCAGTGTTAATATAATCAGATGGGATAGTTCAGAAGGGGAAGCTGTACATGCCTCAGGAGCTGCTGAGGAGTATCAGAGCCTTTCCTTTCCCAAAGTTTCTGAGACTTCAGCATCAGTGTGATGCTGAGATCTGTGAATTGTCATTCAGAACTGTAGTAATCCTTGTGCTTGCTTACAAATCTAGTAATTGCATTGTTAATTGGGGTGTATGCTGGTGCTGGAGTAGCACATAACTAACTTCTTAATATTTAAAAAAATCCACATAAAATAATTCTTGATTCATGCTAAAAAAGGCAGATTTTAATAGGCAACCTATTATCAGGTTGGCAGTAATTTGAGCAAACATTAGTATGTCCTAGTTTATCTTCTGCATAGCTGAGATAAAGACACAGCAGTTACATTTAAGAGGAAGATATGAATAAGAATGTCTGACTATATATAAACCTTCCCTAAAAATAAGATGTTAAAAAAAAAAAAGGGGGATGTATGTCTGTGCCAAGATGAGTGGTTTTTATTGGTTGCACATTTTCCATAAATATAATCTATAAAATTTGAGTAGAGTCTGCTAGTAGTGTTGTAGCTTAAAAGGTAAACTCATCTCAAGTTGTCCAGCTTCTAGAAATTGCTTCATGAAATAGGATCACCCTCAGAATGGAAGAAGTAGGTGTCTGATCTGTCACGTGCCACAGATTTCTCTGCTGCATTGTGCAGGTTCACTTATGCAAGTTGGCTAGTAATGAATCTTTGTGTTATTGATAAATAAATATATTTCACCTACAGAAAGAAGAAGTATCCTGATTTGTTTAAGTGGCTTTGCATAGAAACAATAGAAGTTTGCTGCCCTGCTGGGACTTATGGACCAGACTGCCTTGGTAATTTTTCCTTTTGAAAAATACCTCAGCAGATACATTATTTTTACCTGTTTTCATCTTTCATGATGTGGATAAATATGTGAAGTGTGATATTTTGTGTGAGACATAAGCTGCTGTGTTGTATGTACCTGCTTGCTGACTGACAGGTAACTGCCTTGTGAGCATCCTGCCCCAAGAAAAGTCTTCTGGGCATGAAGTGATGTGCAGAGGCATTAAGGGAACTTACATGTGCACAGTCCATCTGCTCTGATGCTCACATCCACACCTGCTCATGCCTGAAGGCTCTGTGTGACATCAAGTCTGTTGTTTAGGTGGTCTTTCAGAAGCTATGTAGACAACAGTCCTTGGCCAGTTTCAAGAGTAAAACGACTAAAACAGGATTGAGGATTAAATGAAGAAATTCACAACTGAGGATTAGTTAAAAAGGCAATGGGAGAAATTGGATGAAAGTAAGTGGGAGACAATTGGATAAAAGTAAAGTCTTTGATGCAAAAGTCAGAAAGTAAGTGATAAAGGAGGTATTTTTGCCTCTGAAGTTTGTATAACCTGTAAATCTCTAAAACCTTGCACCTTGCTAGAGATCAGCCTTGGCCTCTGAAAATGAAGTGCCAGTTCCCAATATTGATCTAAATGATTGCTGGTAGGTTTCTCCAACTGCAGTATGACCATGCTCCTAACTCCAGAATAAATAAAATTAGCAACTTTAGCCAGGAAGCTAGGAAAATTGTTAAAATTCTAAGCCGTGGTCTTTATCCCAAATTATATTTATAACTGAAGTTTCCTGGAGATGTTTTGAGCTATTCTTGTGCTTGAATATATTATTCAAGTTGCAATATATTATTCCTTGTTGCAAGCCTTTTCATTGCTCTCAAGGGGGAAAAAAGATTTTTGGAAATTATATTCTGGTTTAGTGTGACTAATTTTTTTTTGTTTTGTTTCCTTTTTTACCTTTTACTGCCTATAAAATGGGGAGGGACTTCAGGTGCTTGTGGCAGATGATAGGAACTTAACTTCCTTTAATGTAGGATGTAAAAGTATCTTTGATCCTTTTTAGCTTGCCGTGGTGGATCAGAAAGACCTTGTCATGGAAATGGCCATTGTGATGGTGATGGTACCCGAGGTGGAGATGGCTCATGTAGCTGTAACAAGGAGTACACAGGCCTAACTCCAGAATAAATAAAATTAGCAACTTTAGCCAGGAAGCTAGGAAAATTGTTAAAATTCTAAGCCGTGGTCTTTATCCCAAATTATATTTATAACTGAAGTTTCCTGGAGATGTTTTGAGCTATTCTTGTGCTTGAATATATTATTCAAGTTGCAATATATTATTCCTTGTTGCAAGCCTTTTCATTGCTCTCAAGGGGGAAAAAAGATTTTTGGAAATTATATTCTGGTTTAGTGTGACTAATTTTTTTGTTTGTTTGTTTCCTTTTTTACCTTTTACTGCCTATAAAGAGGGGAGGGACTTCAGGTGCTTGTGGCAGATGATAGGAACTTAACTTCCTTTAATGTATGATGTAAAAGTATCTTTGATCCTTTTTAGCTTGCCGTGGTGGATCAGAAAGACCTTGTCATGGAAATGGCCATTGTGATGGTGATGGTACCCGAGGTGGAGATGGCTCATGTAGCTGTAACAAGGAGTACACAGGAGATTTTTGTTTGGACTGTTCTAATGGTTACTTCAGTACCTTGAGAAATGAGACACATTCTGTTTGTACAGGTAACAAAGTCTTTGACACACACTTAGATCTTTCTCTTCCTTCTTCAGTTTGGTAAACAAAACTCTCAAAAATTTAAGATGACAGATGTAAAACCAAAAACTAGTTCCAGTTTGGTCACTCAGCTTTAACTGTAAATTACACATCTGTTAATTTGGATCTCTTAAAGTTTTGCTAGGTTCCAGATTGCCCTTGACTTGTTTTATTTCCTTTCTGCTTTAAATTAAAAAGCAGAATTAATCTATGCCATGGAAGAGGTGGGAGAGGAGTAAGCTCTGCCCCTTCCCCAACACCCCAAGTACTGCAGGAAAATGTTGATGTGCAGTTGCTGCACACTGTGAAAGCTGTTTTCCTTGTGTTTCAGATGAGCTTAACTGGAGTAAATGGGCATAGAAACAGCTGGTCTGTACTGCAGACTGCATAGATTCCAGTTAAGTTTGCCTAAGCTTGATTTTGCAGGGGTGTAGGAATAAACTTTTTCAGTTGGTCAGGTTTTCTACTGTTTTTACACCTTGAATCAGGTTCTGTAGCAACTAAATCCTGACTGTGGGATCTAATAAGATTATTTTTCAACACAATCTAGGTTGGGTTTTATACCTGGCTGTGTAGTAATTCCTCTGTATGAGTTGTTTCATATTACAGTATATTTTATATTACAATATCTGACATTTGTCAGATATATTACAATATATTTTAGTACAATATTTAACATGTATATGCTATATATTGCATGATATATGCATGTGATATTTATAATATGTATATGCAGTTGGATTTCTACTATGTTTCCTTGTGAAGGTCTTCAGACTGATATCACTTCACACATTGCTCTCAAAGCTAGTTACAGCTGAGGTTATCTGAGGGCTTGTTAGGTGGGAGTGCTGAGTCTAGTGTTTAAACTGTTGTCCTAAGCCTGAGTGGCTGAGCAAAGTTTAAGTTCTTGTTCTCCTTCCCAACATTTTGGAAATTGGGCCTGCCACTTCTAGCCCCTAGAATTTCATGGCACTAAGCAGTGCAGATGAAATTGCCAGGTTTGGCTTCCTAGTTTGGGATTTTGTGGGGTTTTGGTTTTGTGTTTTTTTGGGGGGAGGGGTTGTTTGGTTTTTTTGGTAGGATAGTGTTGCATTTTTATGAGTGATACCTCCATAACATCAAGACTTAATATTGTGAATGGGTGGGTCAAGCTACCAATATGATAGTTTCCAGTTAAGCCTACATAAGGTTTTCTTTGAGAATATGTGCTGAGACTTGGCTTGGAATCTATCAACAAAACTCAGATTATAGTTTTCTCTTACCTCAGCCTGCCACACTGCCTGTAAAACTTGTACTGGTTCAAGTAACAAGGACTGTAAAGACTGTAAAGAGGGCTGGATTAAAAATGAAGAAGCAGCTTGTGTGGGTGAGTAATACTTGATAGACTTGAAACCTGCTTCAAAGGTTTTGTAGCAATACTGGCTAGTGAAATTAGATGGCATAACATTGAGTTTTAGTTTACTTTATGCAAGTGATCTGTCAGTTTAGATTTCTGTAGTTGGTAGTCTCTCTCTTCCTAACTTGTTTCATGTTGCAGGAAAGCAGTATCTCCTCCCCACTGATCACCTGGGGGTTATTGTTGTATTTACCAAACTGTTCACTGTAAATCTTTTTAGTTTAGTGGAATATAGATAGCAGCAGGTGGGTGTGCTTTTTAAGATATGGGGTTTGTGTTTCTTGGAGTGCTAAACAGTGCCCTGCTCTTGATTTAAACTATTTTGTCAACTACTGGAAGTTTTTTGTCAGCTTATCTACATATTCTGTGGTAATTGCACCATTGTCTTTACATTACTGGATGTTTATAAATGCTTAACCCTAATAGAGTGGAAACACTTCACTAAAACCCAGGCATACTAACTTTTCCTGCTGGAGAGAGATAACAGTAAATACCAAGCTCTGTGCTTCCTTTAATCTCTCTCAAGTATAAATTAATTGAGTAATCAGTAGGAATGATGTTTGTAGCAACAGGATGAGATAATATAGACAGCAAGGGGACTGTAATAGCCTTTCTCTATCCAAATTTTTCAGTTGTATTTTATGCCTTTTCCTTGAAATCACAAGAGTAGGATGTTTTAACTTCCTGGCTAGAACTGGTTTTCAGCTTGACTGTTCCTGACCATACGTGTGCATTTAAAGTCCTATAGCTTGGCAATTTAGGAACAGAGAAGACAACAGGATTCCAGAAGAGTGATCTGTCTGCTTACTTGTTATGTTATTTGCATAAAAGCCATAAATGTGTGGAAAGCACTGACTTGAAAATGGCACAGATGACAGATATTCTGGATGTTTTATCTAATTTGAGCTCTTTCATATCTAACATGTTGCATATCTTATTCTAAACTCCCAGGAACAATTGCTCTTGATGTGTTCAGTTTAAGTTTATAGCTTCTGTGGGCCAGCTGTTAGAAGATCTCAAAGCATAGCATTCAAGTATTAGTGTAGCTGTTTCATCATGACTGCAGTTTTAGATAACTTGTCACTGTTTATCTTTCAGATTTAGATGAGTGTGCTGCTTCTCCTTGCAAAGATCACCAGTACTGTTTGAACACGGATGGATCTTTCTTATGCAAAGGTTTCTTTTTAATCTGCTGTTGGAGTTCATTGTCTAGAGTCCTAATGTAAAGCTAGGAAGGGCACAATATCAGGCATTAAATACAATGTGGTCTGGTCCTGACAGGGCATGGGGAGTAGGAGGCTTTAGACCTATCATATGAGGAGAGTGAGAAATTTCTGGTTGTTTCTGTTCCTTTCTTCTGATACCCCACCTGGTATACTGTGTTCAGCTCTGGTGCCCCCAGTGTAAAGAAGACATGGACCATGTGGGCCCAGAGGAGGGCCATGGGTATGATCTGGAGCACTTCGCCTGTAAGGGCAGGCTGAGAGAGCTGGGGTTGTTCAGCTTGGAGAAGAGAAGGCTCTGGGGAGACCTTATAACTACCTTCCAGTACCTGAAAGGGGCCTACAAGAAAGCAGGGGAGGGACTATTCACAAGGGTTTGTAGTGACAGGACGAAGGGTAATGGCTTTAAGCTAGAAAAGGGGAGATTTAGGTTAGACGTTAGGCAAAAGTTCTTCAATATCAGGGTGATAGAGACCTTGGAAAAGAACCTCTAAGATCATCAAGTCCAACCATCAACCCAACACTACTGTGACCACTAAACCGTGTCCGGAAGTAGCACGTCCACGTGTTTTTTGAACAGCTTCAGGGATGGTGACTCTACCACCTCCCTGGGCAGCCTGTTTCAGTGCTTCACCACTTTTCAATAAGAAATTCTTCCTAATATCCAGTCTAAACCTCCTCTGGTGCAACATAAGCCCATTTTTCTCTTGTCTCCCAAGTACCTAGCAATAGGACGAGACCAACACTAACCTCACTATAACCTCCTTCCAGGTAGTTGTAGAGAGCAATTGGGTCTCCCCTCAGCCTTCTCTAGACTAAACCACCCCAGTTCTCTCAGCCACTCCTTCTAAGACATGTTCCCCAGACCCTTCAGCAGCTTTGTTGCCCTTCTCTGGACCTGCTCCAACACCTCCCTGTCTTTTCTATACTGTCGTGCCAATGGGGAGGGACTTTTTATCATGGAGTGTGGTGATAGGATGAGGAGTAACAAATGGTTTTAAACTGAAAGAGGGTAGATTTAGAGTAGACATAAGGAAGAAATACTTTACTGTGAGGTTGGTGAGATGCTGCAATAGGTTGCCCAGGGAATTTGCAGATGCCCTCTCCCTGGAGGTCTTCAAGGCCAGGGTGGATGAGACTTTGAGCAACCTGATCTAGTGGAAGCTGTCCCTGCTCATGGCAGGGGGGGTTGGAATTAGATGACTTTTAAGATGTCCTTTCCAACCCAAACCATTTTATGATTCTCCAATTTCTTGTGTGGGTAAGCTGACTCACTTTAAGGAATGGTACTTTAAACCTCAGATGTATAATTGTTTTTTTCTTAAAATGTTTTATCTTCAGCATGTGATGCCAGCTGCATGGGTTGCACAGGGGAAGGCTCTGGCAAGTGTCAGACCTGTGCACCTGGGTACCTGAAGGAGGATGAGGAGTGTACAGGTGGGTGGATTTGGCAGCACCTGGTGGAACACCAACCAGGTCTCTCACTGGGGGCTCACCACGCTGAGAGGAGCTGTTGAGTACATTTGCATTGCTCTGCTTCAGTTTTCAAGGCTAGCAAAATAAACCCAGTCATTCTGGTATTAGCAGCACAGGCTTTCTTTTTAACTTCCTTTATCTTGTTGAGCTAACACACAGAAGGCTTAAAGGTGTGCCTGAGGCACAGGGCTTAGAGGTGAAACACTGCCACAAAAGGAAAAAAGTATTTTATAGCAGGTTCAGGAAACAAATACATGATTCTCTTGTCTACCACTTCATTAGGAGTGTGCATCTGTATTCATTTTGTAACAGAAAGGCAAAAATGCCCTGTGGATTCTATTGTCTTTCTATGAATCCCTTACTGCACTGAGTTCAAATTATCTTACTTCACAGTGGATTATAAAATGTGAGATGATGGTAAAAAGGCTGAAATTAGAGTTTCTCTGTGGGGGAGAGCAGAAGGTATGCATAATCTTAAGGAGCTGTTAACTATGATGATGTAGTATTTACAGGCTCACTTCCCTTCAGTCATACTTTGTCATCAACAGAAAATAACTATGAGAAATCTTCAGTAGGTTGAGCACCAGTGCTTAATTCTTTTCCCCACATGGGAGCTGCAAAGCATAAAAACCCTGCTACTATCTAAATAAATTTGAAAGTCTAAATCATGAAGAACTGTAACATTATTTTAACAGGAGTCAAATTTGTTGCAGCAGCATTCTGCTCCTTGATGATGTTTGTGTTTGAAGAGAATTTTGGTTCTATGACAGAGCACAATTAAGTTTTATAACAAAACAACACTGAACTCTTTTTTTTTTCCCTGTCTCTAGATATAGATGAATGTAACCTTCCTGAAAAGGTCTGTGTGAAAGAGAATCAAGACTGTGTTAATACCTCGGGGAGCTACAAGTGTGTATGTTCAGAAGGGTTTGAAGATAAGGAGGGAACATGTGTTCAAACTGTAAAACCAGGCAAGTGGCTTTTCAATGGCCCATTTTAAACTATGCTTGCTTGACAACTTGAGGTGTATTTCTAAGGGTCTAGTCATTTGTAAACTTTTCTGTAAAATTTATCATCTTCCTAAAACTATGGTGTGTGTCAAGTTCTTTTTTGTGGTGCAGACCACATTTCAGGCTTAAAGACAGTGGATTTCTTAAACGTCTTGTTCTTGTGATGATTTTTTTTTCCCCTTAACTCAGGGTTGTGTTTTTAAGTTGCTTAAGTGTCTGGCTTCATTACATAAAGTGAATTAGTAAATTACTGCTAGAATAAAAAGGAAATCTTCCTCCTCACCACTTTTTTTTTTCTTTTTATCATTAATTATGATGACTTAAGGGTTTATCTGGTTGCATGCAAGCTACTTCAGCTCACTGAAATCTCAGAAAATTAAGCAGTGGTTTTTTTTTTCCCCCTGGATGAATGAGTTAAATTTGTTTATTTTGTGATCACAAAAGTGCCAGAGCTGGTGTGAAGGTGAATATGGAGAAGACACCCATCTTTCAGGAGCAGAGAACAGTTTAGTTTGGCTTGAATTTCTTTATGGGAAGTGTAGTTTAAGTGTAATTTGCTCTAGCATGTATGACATTGTGGACAGAATTAAATTCATTAATGTTTTATTAGGCTTTTCTTAGGCTTTTTTTATACAATTCCAAAGTGAAAGACAGGATTATTTTGCAGTAAAGGTTGTAGGACAATAGATGGGACTCTCAGTTTCATACTTTTATCTTCTTCCTACTTCTTACCTTGTTTGTGTTGTGGTTGGTTTGGTTTTGTTCCCCTCCTTGACTGCTTTTTCAGCTTGTACTAATAAGTTGTAGCTTATGGTGAGTACTTTTTTAGTACTTTTATAGGACTAATAACAGTGAGTACTGAGAGTATAAGTTGTGCTTATAACCTACAGTATAAGTAGGTTATACTAAGGGTACAACTTAGGGTTGTACTTATACTGTAGGTTATAAGCACAACTTATTCTTTAAAACCACTTCTCTACTTTTCCTGTGCAGATACTCAGGATATCAGTTACTATGTTTTTTTTATTGTGGCCTAGAATTTTCTGAGAATAAAAGCACAAAGAAAAGTTGACAGCTTAGTTTTTATCTTAGATGAATGCTTTTACTGATATAATAAAATTACTCTGCTTTTATAAGAGCTGTTATAACATCTAAACTGAGCAATTTGCACTATAGAAAACTACTCTGAGTAGTACTTGGGTTTTGTTTACAAATACCATAATTTCTGCTGACAGGTCATGTGGGAAAGGAGAAGGTTCACTGTAAATAGCTGAAAACAGAAGCTTAGAACACAAATAGCTGTAGTGCTTTTTTCCCCACCAACACTATAATAACAGTTGATTTGAAATGCTTTGTTTAAATGTGGAGAATGCTGCTAGTAGTTGTTCTGTATGGCTTTATTGCTTCTCTGCCTTGATAAATGTGTTGATTTGGGTTTCTCTTTTAAAAATTCCTAATGTCAAAAGCTATATGGTATAAGTAATAATACATTTGTATCCTAATTCTGGTACTTCATTTCACAGGAGAAGTAGAGACTGGAACAACTGAGCCTTCACCTACTGCACATGATGACTTATGATCTGCATTCAGAACCAAAAGACATTCCTACCTAAAGTTTTAAATTATTGGACTAAGCCTCTCCTAGCTGACATACCATGGAAATGGTATTAAATACACAGGTTGTCATTAAGATTCATTTTTTTTAATGGTGATAAACTGCTCTTTAAGCTGCATTTCTTTATTCTTAAATGCCACTTTTTATATAACTCAAGAACAACACTCTAGGTGGGTTAGTATAAAATTTGGATTAACATAACATTGTACCCAGGAGTTGTAAAACGAGTTGCAGGTTTCTCATTCCAGTGCCTACTGAAAAGTGTCATCATTTGGAAGGCCTTAGTTTCACCTCATAATTCAAGAAAAATTTAGACTGAAGTTTGGTGTTTCTTGACAAGAACTATTTCTGTAATTGAAATACAGCTTTTAGAAATTGTCAGAGGGAATCTCTTTGGGGGGAAGCACTGTTCCCTTAAACAAAATGGAATGCCTAATACTGCATTCAATAAAAGTTTATTTTGTTGGAATGTGCCTTACATTTTTTTAAGATGTTAACCATGTCTGTGGTAGACAACACAACACCTAGGCAGGCAGACAATTCTAAGTGTGCAAACTAGTTTATATGGTGGTGAAGAGCTGAGCTTGACTAACACCTCCACTCAGTGGCTCACAGTTGTGAGATGAACACTTCCCAGAACTGATGACACCTGTGACTTCCACTGCAGTCTACTACTGCAGGTAACAGCTTCTTGTCTTTTTCAGAACAAGCTTATTACAATCAATTTATCTTGTCTCTTGTGCCATTTCAGATGGAAAGCTCTTGAGCATAGCACAGGTGCAGTTTCCTACAGGTTGTCCCTAAGCTTAAAGGCAAGGATAAAAGCTAAAATTGGTGTGTTCTGCAGGACTATCACAGCTATAAATAAGCTAAGGATTATCACAGCTACAGTGGAGCTCTGATAGAAGTGAGTAAAGTTTGGAATACATTGCAGTGGTGGTTACAGGGAGCATGAAGAGGGATTGCAGAATACAGCTAAAAAGAGTGTGCACCTAGGCTTGGCTATGAAAAGGTTGTAAACACTACCCTGAGGTAAGTGGAAATCAAAAGGGTATGACTAGGTTTGACCTGCTGAGCAGTGAAGGCCAAACACCTTCTCTGTACTTCTGAAGACCCTGTTCAGATTAAGTTCAGTTTGTGAACAGTGCACATAGGATTTGTATTTGTAATAGATAATTATGTAAATTTATATGATACTTATGTGAAAAAAGGATTCTGTTTGATTCTTATGTTAAAAGCTAAGATGATCTTGTTTGCTGTGGTTTAAATACCTGATGGTTTAAAATATCTGTAACAGTTTTAAGTTATTTTCCTTTAGCTGTTATATCTAGATGTTTCTTAATTTGCCAGGCTGAAAACTTTAGAGCTTTCTCAGCTGTAATTGCCAGAGATGGGCCTATGTGCCACATACCTTTCAGGTTCTAGGGTAATTGTATTTAATAAGTGCTAAATTAAAAGGAGGAAAAAGTAGGCAGTTTGGGGACCACAGGGAGAACAGTTTTTCCTCAGTCCTCCCACTGCCCTGCCCCTTGATTACTAGCACCTTTTGCTCTGCAGTGTGTTATTGTGGATAAATTTGCTAAGTCAGGGATCCAGAAAGGTGAATTCTAATATTTAGAGCATTCTCTGAAGGAATATTGACTAAGTCATGTACTTATAAATATTTAACACTATGCTACTGTGTCATGGTGTCTCAGTGCTGAGCATCTAAAGAGCTAGTCCTCTTGTTTTACTATGCATCCTCATTTTACTACTTCAGACACTAAATCCTGCTCTGTTTTAGAGGCTGGAACAAAAAATTGTTTTGACTGAAGGTTTTTGTGTTAATCAAACCAGTCCTGGGTCTCAGTGCTTTGTTCTGTGTGTGTTAACAGCTTAGTGCTAAAAAGAGTGAGCTCTTTCCATTAAATTTTTCATTATGTTGTAAGAAGATCTAGTAGTACAGTACAAACCTTTCTACTTACTGTTGCCTGGAATTACAGGTCCAATATCAAACTATATGAATATGTTGGTAAATTCTTTATAAGGGATCTGAGATATCCAGCAAACAAGATTTGTGCCTTAGTGAAGTGTTGGTGAGGTATTTTTTTTTCATAAATACCAAGGTGAACCTTGAACTTAACCCCTATTCTTTTGTAAACTTCATACTCTATGATATCAAATTGAAAAAGGAATCTCTTTTCCTAGCTTGTCTTGCTTTGGGATTGCTTTACCTAAGACTAAGCACTTTTTGCAATGGGAAATACACTGTTCAATACCATGAAGGAGAAGGTTTCTCTGGTGGGTTATAGCTGAACTCCACAGGAGGTCCAGGAAACACTTTCCAGGCACAAGCAAACCTCCAGAACTGCATGTTTCAATTCATGCTCTAAACAAGGCCAGGAAAGCAGTCTCCAGCATGCAGCATGCATGCCACACTGCTCCTGCACTGCCTTGCTTGATCATTTATGTAATTCAGGAAGACAGACATCACCTGAAAGGGTTCAAATCGTTCTCTTCTGTCACAAGAGAGGTGCCAAAGCCCCGAGGTTTTAGGCAAGATCAGGACACAGTAAAAATATAAGGCATGTCATACAAACAGCACTATTTTTTTCTTATATAGTTGACAAAGACTGATCATACATATCCTAGTAGGTATGGGAGAGAATCTGCAGTCATCATTCTTAGCCTTTGAATGACATTTGCAAGTTGAAAAAGCACCAAGAGTTGTGAAAATGACATTTTGAGTGTATACAACAGTATGTGTATATGTTAGGATGATTCTCCCTTACAAGCAGGATGCACCCTGCCCTTCAAGTTGCTTTCAGATCATTCTTAATACAACCCAGGGTTAGGCAGACAAATAATTCAAGCTTGCCTTAACCAGGGACTAGTTGGAAAGAATGCATGGGGAGAAAAAAAGGCAAGCTTTAAAAAAACCCCAAGCAGTCCTGGGTCATGTACTGCAATAGTGTAAAAGACACTTCTCCTTAGTGGTCCCAGCTGACCTCCTTCATATGCTTCCCTTTCCTTCCCTCTATATGTCTGCTGGGGGTTATTTTCTGAGGTTGTATTTTATCTCTTCTAAAAGGAAACTTCTGAGGTTATTCAAAGCCACTGTACTTTTTTTTCCTTCCTTGGATTAAAATGGAATTTTTCTCCTCTTTTTCAGTAGCTTCACACCACGTGTAGCATTTCCAGTTTCAGTTCCAATGTTAATCCAAATATAATCTGCAGCTGGATCTCAAATACATTTGCAAGCATCTTGTTTTCACTTGGATGTCTCTTAGAATTAGATTTCAATGGATGCTAATGTAATACTTTCTGTCTTGCACAAGTGTATTAGATTTTCTTTCTTACTTGAATG